ATTAAAAGCTTACGCATACAGTATAAAAATAATTATTGAATTATCTATGACTGAGTATCGTATATTAGTATGATTAAAGTAAGCTTATTTTTATACTGTATGCGTAAGCTTTTAATTTGTGATTTAGATCTCCATTACTAAGTAATCAAAGCAAAACTGTTGTCTTTAAATTGAATATACCTATCACATATTTTATTTGTTATCTTTCAATATTTATTAATTAACTTACTTATTGTACTTTGATTTATGGTTGTATAATATCTTATATTTCTTAGAGTTTCAAATTCAAAAAATTGAAGGATATTATTAAAGATATTTTTAGTATTTCTAACATTATAGATTGGCAATTATCACTGTATATTCAGATATCAGTGCAAGATATACCAAAGGTATGTGCGATTTTTCATTAAAAATTAAAACATGATAACTGAATACAAAATACACATAAGATATAGTGTTTTAAAATGTATTGAAAATACGCATATATGATACCTTTGATATATCTTGCACTGATATTATATCTGTTTTAGAAATACAAAAAAGGGTTTTATTTCTAATTTAATAAAAGTATTACTGTACACAAGTAGTAGGGTATACAGAATTGAACACCTATTTTTGTATTTCTTCATTTGAATCTCGATTATATGAAACAGGGACAATGATTTTTATGAGTAATATAAGATTAAGCTTTATTTGTAACGTGTCTCATAGTAAACCAATACACAACGTTCCATAAAAATCTCAATCTTATATTATTCATATAAATCATTGTCGTTGTTTCAAATAATCGAGTCTCATTTCATATTTCATTATAATACATAAATTACAAGTACAGTAATTTAATGAAAGTTAACTTGAATATCAATACATTATTAACATTAAAAATAAATACATATTTATTTAGAAAGTTAAGTTTAAAATATTTTATTGGCTTAATATAATAAAATTACAAAATTTGTATAATTAAATGAAATACTACTTATTGTTGTTGAAGTACTTGTTGAGTACAAATAAATTAAGAAAATTGAATTAAGAGTTGCGTTTAAAAACAATGATTGCTATAATAGTGAAGAGTAGACCAGAGATTGCATTCATAGCGAATCCGTGAAATACTGAGGCATTGGTGAACGTCCATCCCCTCAGCATTACATTACGCAATGATTCTGTGGGCATAGCTATGGGACTGTAGTACAAGAATTTGCGGATTTCCGGTTCAATCGATTCGTTGGGAAATATAGCGCCACTCGTGAACAGTTGCGATAGACTTATAAATAGTGATAAGAAAAATGCCACAAAACTTTCACGACATAGCGATGAGATTAATAGGCCTGAGAAACAAAATAATTAATGTATCCATTTAATGCAACATTTCTTATCTGTTATTAATAATGAAAATATTAAGTGAACTTTCCTGTAATAATTGAGGTAATTATCATTTAATGCAAGCATTAAAAACTTGCATAAAAAGAACTAAATATAATATACAGTAAAAGTAAAATACATTTTAAAAAGTAAAATTAAGGACAAAAACACGTGTAGTATAAAAATATTAATCATTCAAATATTGCTTGACATAAATTCCGTATAATTATTGCATTCATTAGTTTAAAGATATAAACAGAATTGCAAAACAAATGAGATTTTTGTCCATTAATAACAAATAGCTTATAATTAAATTTATTGACTTTACATAAAACTGAGAAAGCTTATCACTGGAAGGCAAACCATAGTCCTCTGGCGATCATTATTTATGACAATATATCCTGATACTGTATTATACTTTGAATAAAGTTATGCAAACAAAAGTTGTCGAAAGTATGTAAAAATATATATGACATGACATACCGAGTGCTATAGCATTGACTGCTTGTGTCATAACCAGAAACACAACCAAACCATATGAGCCATAATTTGTAATATCAAACCAAATGAACGCAATTAATAGCATTAGTATAACGTTGACGAAAGACATGAGACAACCAGTGATGAAATGTGAGAAAAATATGAGTTGATGTCCGGCGCCGGCAACTATGGCCCTATCAAACAGGCCGTCCTGTCGCTCGTGTATTAACACGATTGACGAGAGGGTTACTTGAGATAAGTATATGAATGCTATCATATATCCGGGTAATAGGAAGTCCGAGAGTTTAGAGTCGGGCGCGTATATGGTGTCTACAATCTTGATTGGGGGAGGGATACGAGGCTTTCCATTATCGGCCAATATGTCAGATATGAGACCCCAAACGGTTTGCGTGAGTGAGTCGATCAGGAATTGTGCGTAAATATAGTTGGAGTTATCGATATAAATACGGAGCTGACTGTCCTCTATAGTCTCATTGTCTATGTTGTCCACGTCGATCACCCGGTCCTCCATAGCCTGACTAAAATTCTTGCCAATAATGATAGCACCGGTTGTGCGCCCCCTCAGCACCGCATCGATTGCCAATAGTTTTGATTCATACACTTCTGGCTTAATATAATACAAATCTATTTGTTTCACTGAATTTAATAGTTTTTGGCTATGAATGGGATCGTTGTCTGCGTTATAAACAGATGTTTTAATCTGCAAATACATAATTAAAATAATTATCAATATTATGAATAAATATACAGTATAACTATTTGTAATCAATAATAATTGACTCACAGGTACAGAATTAACTCCATATATCAAACACATAAGCAATGTTTGAAATGCCGGCGAAAATATCAATAGGAATATGAGTTTATACTGAATATATTTATTAACATTACGACGAATTAGTATCATAAGCACCCATAGCAGCGAGAATTTGCCTAAAATATTCACATCCGACACCTTTTTAGAGCTCTCATTATTTGCACTTTTCTTATCCAACTCATAGTAGGCCTGCAATGAGTTATCCAATCCGTCAGTTATGGTATGCTTTTCTTGATATTTACAAAGTCTTATGAAAACATTCTCCAAATTGTTTTCCTGAAACTTTTCTAACAGCAATTTAGGGACCCCTTCCTCGATGAGTCGGCCGTCTCTCATGAAACCGACGTTATGTGCGAAGTGAGCCTCTTCTGTGTAATGGGTCACCAATAGGACACTCATGCCTTCCTGAACGCAACATAAGTGCAGATAACGCCAAATCTTGTCGCCCAACTCGGGGTCCGTTCCCACTGTGGGCTCATCCAGAATCAGTAGTCGTGGCTGATGTAGAAGTGCTAACGCCAGGGATAGCTGTCTTTGTTGACCGCCTGAAAGTTGGCCCACAGATTGACTGGTGTCGGGAAGACCTAATCTTGCGTTTAATTCTCTAATCCTGTTGCGCGTAAAACAATCAATTTAAATCAACTTATAAACAAAAAAGTCATGAAAATTTTAAAGATTTCATAGTTTATATTTTTATAAATCAATCAATAATTTTTATTCATAAACCTGTATATTTAATTTCTTTATTTTCAACGAATACTGTATATCAATTAAATTGTATGTTAAAAATATATTATATAGTAACTTAATTAATTAGATTAATAATTGTGTTAGACTATCATTTGGGACAAATTCTACGGGAATCAACATTTTAAACTCTTATACATTCTGTACTCAGTGCTAAAAGTTTTGATTAGATTACTTGAATAAGAAATTTAATTAACCATAAAATGAAAACTGATATAAATTAAAAAAGAATTTTATAATTAAAGGGTATCAGAAAAATATTTCAGTGAACTCAAATTTTACTAATACTGTATAATATATCATAAGATATATCAGGTTATATATTATCGTAAAATTGACAAATGGTGATCAAATGGTGGTCTTACCTCTCTTTAAATTTATTCTTTGAAATGTGATATAAATTTGCAAAATATAGAAGAGTTTGTTTGACAGTCAATTGTAGACATAGAGCACAGTCTTGAGGCATATAACCGATGAGGCGGTTATTATGGCCGCACTGCGCTCCCAGTACAGTGATAGAGCCACTTTGCATTTTGACCCTGCCCAGTATTAACTTTAATAGTGTGGTCTTCCCGGCACCGCTGGGACCTAAGAGGCCATATATCTTGTTCTCGGGAATGCGGGCATAAATATTGGCCAGGACACGATTTGTTTTATATCTAAATGTCACGTTATTAACTGATATGACACTCATATTTGCAGATTAATGGTAATGATCAGTGGATTTTAATTGTAGTATTGAATCAAATACACAAAAACTTGTGAGGTTTTCAAGTTTCTTATGTAATCATCTTTAAACACAAAAGCAATATATAATATATGAAGTGTTGAGCACTTAATTCATACCAAGAGTTTACGAAACATTTAGCATTACATTAATTCATTTAGAAAATTACTTTCAATACCGCAAATATATTGTCATTCAATGTTATTATTATTAAAAATCACTATAAAAATTGAAGTGATATTAAACATGCAAAATAATTTGAAAGTTATGCTAATTTAAGTGCAAAACGTATTATTAATATTAAATAAATATATTGTATAAGACTTATTATTATTGAAAAAACAATTGAGAAAACATTTATAAGAAGTTATTATTCATTTAACTATTAAACAAAAGACTTGACATAACTTTTTAAAATAAGTAGTCAATGGTTATTAAACACAAAGACTAAACACTGAGAAAATCAATGATAAACTTGAAGTCTCTTCGCAAACATAATGTGTTTGTTTTGCAGTGTTTTTTCGCAATATTTCTCTCAATTTCTCTTTACATACATATAGGAAGACGTGAATAAATTTCTCGCATTTTATTATTATTAACAATAATTATTAGAAAAATGAATAACAGTTTTAAACAATAAGAGAGTGAAAGAAAAATTTATTTCCTTTTTCTCTTCAATCACTTAAACAAATAAATAACAAACGAATATAAAAGTCAAGCAAAAAACAGTGAAAGAAATAAAATTATTAATAATTGTATTTCAATCACAAGCTTGTCTTAAAAGCACAGATATTTTTCACATCTTATTTTCATATGTAGTTTTCATATGCTATACACACAAACGGATTTCTATCCTTGACTTAAATGCAGTACTTTTTTGTAATTACAGAGAAATAGTCAGTAAATAATAAACTGTTCAGACATTCCTTACGACAAGAGAGTGAGTACTGTACAGCACTTCACTATAGCACAGGTATCCTATCCTATCAACAGTGATGGTATGTGTTTTCGATTCCTGTTCTGTCCTAAACTGGAACTATTTGTTAGAGAGAGAGAGAGAGAGAGAGAGAGAGAGGTCTGTTGAATATAACATAAGATATAGATATAAATGATAGCTAATGAAAAAGTATAGCCTATGGTGTGATCGTTGTGTTGGGAATTGAAGGTTGAAATTCATATTTAAAAATAAATGCATTGAAGTCATAGTGAGATGACATACTCTATACATCAATACCAAGATGTTGTAAATTGATCTTCTTGGAGGTTAACAAGGTTTATTATAATAATCAAAACTTCAAGCAGTAAGACTAACATAATTAACAAATGTGTTTTTAAAGAAAATGACACCAAACATAATGGAAACTAATTCAAATAAATTAGGTTTAGTTAATTTTAAGGCACAGATTATAAAATGTTGCATTAATATTTCATGCATTTCCATAATTTATTTAATTAAATTTATATAATTGATTACATTTGTAGTCGAATACCATTTGTTATGGAATATTATATAAATGATTTTAATTATGAATTCTTTGTTGTCAAAAGTAGACTAAAATATTAAAGTATATAAAAGTATTCAGTAATAACAGTCATTCTCCTATCAGTTAATGCAGTATTACTTAAAGTGATTATTCTCTAAAACAAACATACAAAAAATATTATATATTAACAAAAAATATAAATTTTAAATATATTTTTAAAGTTATTTTGTTTTTATTATAAATCACGTGTTTAAACTATTTATATTAACTGACTCATAGAATATACTAATTTTATCTCATATATTCTATATTTTAATAAATTTTGGCATTTTATTTTAAATTTATTTATAGATCGATTAATTAAACAAGTAAAAATCTATCATATTTGGCAAGAATACAAATTATATTATATGATTCTATATTTTAATTCCAGTTTAAATTGACAACTAAAATAAAAATATAAAAGTATATTTGTAATAAATTCTGTTTTGATTTACCTTGCACTTTTTGTATAATAGTATAGATTTTTTACAAATTTTTAAATTTTATTCTAAAGTATAAACATTGGAGAAGTGTAAACAATAGTTTTGCTCAAATATTTTTTTAAATTTCATAATTAACATAAAACAGTAGTAATTTTACATTTAAAAAATCATTGAATATATTCAATACAACTTTTATAAATGGTTTAAATATTCTTTACATTTGTTATCAATCAGATATCATGGCAAATAATTTATGATATATTTCATTGACCTCTAGGTATTTTGAGATAAAATATTGAATTATAATTAAAACATATTGAGTCTGTGTTTTATCTTATCTATTATCTTAATATTATTAGTAATAATATATTATCTTAATAATAATATTATTATTATTATTATTATTATTAATAATAATATATTTTTATTTAAATGATTTCACTAAAATTGTAACTCTATCCAATGATATTTAATATGATTTTTATAACAATTAAACTTTTTTGATCTTATTAGTAATATTAGTAATATTTAACAAAAGAATAATTGAAAATAATTGAACCTTGTCATAAATATACTGTAGAAATTATATTAGATATTGAATTAATTGAAAATAATAAATTTTATGTAGAATATTATAAAATCTAAATACAGTATGTTATGTATCAATAATATAAAATCTTTTAAAGATAAAATGTTAAAATAATATCTATTATTTTATGTTAGATTAGTGATTACCAATTAATTTAAAAAATATGTTTATAATAAAATGAACATTTTAATAATTTAATTGAATATTAAATATTTATTATGTAATTGTTTATAAAGTTTTAAAAATCACTTAATTATTATGTTTGCTAAATGTCTGATAACAATGAATAGCAATTCGTGTAATTGAAAATTTATAACAAAAACTAAAACCTATAGTATTATATAAGACTAGTATGTTTATTTAGATTTATCTAATAGTTATACAGAAATAACATAATGTTTATAACTATTACAATATGTAATAAACTATGAAACTTTGATTAATTAATTATTTATAAGTGTCAGTCATTAAATATCTTTAGTTCTTAACATGAAAACTTACATAAATTTAATCAACAACTAATTCAAATTATTAAAAACTTTGCCTTATAATTAATTTTTACATAAAATATACATTTTGAAGTTTTATTTATTTGTAAAGATATTTTTACAAATATATTTGAAGCATACATATGAAAGTTATATAAATGTAATATATTATATAATAAACTGTAATTTACATCTATTAACAAATTAATATAAATTATTATGTATAGACGTAAATTTCTATTTATGAGTAATAAAGATTTTAAGCTTAGATTATAAAATTTATATACAATAAAAATATAAATCTATGAAATAAGTGAAAATTCAATTAACTGAATTTTTATATAATAGACAACTAGTGTGACCAACTCGAAATTTAAAATTCCTGGATTTTTATGTATATATTTCATAAAATTCCTGGACAATCCTGGACATAAATTTTAACGCCATATTTGGCATA